CCATGCTGGCCCCCAAGCCCAAGCTCAGCGAGGCGCTGAAGGTGGTGGCCCGGTGCCGCCCGATGAGCCGCAAGGAGGAAGCCGCCGGGTACGAGCGGATCCTGGAGATGGACGTGCGGCTGGGCCAGGGGAGGCTGGGCAACCCCCGGGCCTCGCTGGGGGAGCTGCCCAAGACCTTCACCTTCGACGCGGTGTATGACGCCAGCTCCAAGCAGGCGGACCTGTACGACGAGACCGTGCGGCCCCTCATTGACTCGGTGCTGCAGGGCTTCAACGGGACCCTCTTCGCCTACGGCCAGACGGGCACCGGCAAGACCTACACCATGCAAGGCGCGTGGGCCAACCCCGAGAAGCGCGGGGTCATCCCCAACTCCTTCGAGCACATCTTCACCCACATCTCGCGGTCCCAGAACCAGCAGTACTTGGTGAGGGCCTCCTACCTGGAGATCTACCAGGAGGAGATCCGGGACCTGCTGGCCAAGGACCAGAGCAAGAAGCTGGAGCTGAAGGAGAACCCGGAGACGGGCGTCTACATCAAGGACCTCTCGTCCTTCGTGACCAAGAACGTCAAGGAGATCGAGCACGTCATGAACCTGGGCAACCAGGCCCGGGCGGTGGGCACCACCAACTTGAACGAGCACAGCTCCCGCTCCCACGCCATCTTCATGATCACGGTCGAGTGCAGCGAGACCGGGCTGGACGGCGAGGACCACATCCGCGTGGGCAAGCTCAACCTGGTGGACCTGGCGGGCAGCGAGCGCCAGAGCAAGACCGGGGCGCCGGGAGAGCGGCCGAAGGAAGCCTCGAAGATCAACCTCTCCCTCTCGGCGCTGGGCAACGTCATCTCCGCCTTGGTGGACGGCAAGAGCACGCACATCCCCTACCGGGACTCCAAGCTGACCCGGCTCCTGCAGGACTCCCTGGGGGGCAACGCCAAGACCATCATGGTGGCCACCCTCGGGCCGGCCTCGCACAGCTACGACGAGAGCCTGTCCACCCTCCGCTTCGCCAACCGGGCCAAGAACATCAAGAACAAGCCGCGGGTGAACGAGGACCCCAAGGACACGCTGCTGCGGGAGTTTCAGGAGGAGATCGTGCGGCTCAAGGCCCAGCTGGAGAAGCGCGGCATGCTGAGCAAGCGGCGGAGGAGGAGCAGCCGGCGGAAGAAGGCGCTGGACGGGGAGGGCGCCCCGGAGCACGAGGCCGAGGAGGACCACGAGGACGGGCTGGAGAAGAACATGGAGAACTACTTGCGGGAGCAGAAGGAGCGGCTGGAGGAGGAGAAGGCGGCCATCCAGGACGACCACAGCCTGGTGAGCGAGGACAAGCAGAAGCTCCTGGAGGAGAAGGAGAAGATGATCGAGGACCTGCGGAAGGAGCAGGAGGCCACCGAGCTGCTGGCCGCCAAGTACAAGGTAAGCGCTGGCCCCGGCCACGGCTTCGGCACGGGGTGGGGCCCCGGCGTGGCCACCCGCGTCCCCGGCGGGAGAGCCCCGTGGCGACGTCCTGGCTCTAGGGTGGCCCCGGGCTACCTGGGGTGCTCGGCTACGGGCCAAGCCCTCACCAGTGGCACGAGCTGGGCCTCCTCAGCGGAGTCCCGTCCACGTGACCCAGCGGCTGGCAGAGGTTGCTAGGATGATGCTGCAGATTCGCATCCCTTGTGCGGCCGCGACCTGCTGAATATGCATTGGCCAGCAGACCTG